GCCTTCTTGGCCACCAGGGCACATTGCTGGCTCATGATCTTCCTTTTGTCCACCAGGACTCCCAGGTCCCTTTCCACGGAGCTGCTCTCCAGGAGGTCAGCCCCCAACCTGTACTGATGCATGGGGTTATTCCTCCCCAGGTGCAGTACCCTACACTTACCCTTGTTGAACTTCATAAGGTTTCTCTCTGCCCAACTTAGCAATCAGTTTTCTATTCTTAGGAATAGTTTTCAACAAGTGTTTCAACACAGTTTTCAAAGACTCTTAGACCTTCATGCTATGTCCACACTTTGAATAAGTCCCAGTCCCATGGCTCCTATATTGTACAACGCAAAGAGCCTGATGTTTTCTGTCCTTTCTTCTTAATTCCCAGCTAGAGGAATGAAAAAGTTTCCAGAGGAGAATCTTAGAGTATACTTGCAGTGTTAACACACATACTGTATGACTGTCTAAGGGTAGGTGGAGAGGAACCAGGAGCAAACCTGCCTGATCAAGTTGATAAATCTCAGTGGTGATGTCATGTGATGCATCAAGACAACTTTGGCATCAGTTCAGAAATTACTTGTTTCCCAAAACTCGAAAATTCCTGTGGGTGTTTGAAAGATTTAATTTTTCCCTCCTCTAGACTTGTTTAATTAACAGGGCTACTTAATGACCTTGGGGGTGAGGTGTTCCATTGCCTCAATCCACTTCCATTGTCCAAGAAGTCATATGCTTTTGTGTGAAAACACACTGGAGTTCCAAGAAGAAAGCCTGATCCAGTGACCCTTCTATGCCAAAGGCTACTCTACATGTTAAAAGGTACAGATGCACTCTCAAAGGTCAGATTCACAAACCCTTAACAGTCCTAGAAACGGACATCTGTAACTTAGTAAACCACACAGCTTTAAAGAGACCTGAGCTAACTAAAACTTGTTTTTCCCATTGAATACTTTTGCACACAGTAATTTTTCACCATTATTGACAAAGCCTACATGTCATGTCCAATCCAATTGCAGTTTCCATGGAGCATATTAGGGTGTCCTTTGTTCAGTTGTTGCTGTTAAAGTAATACTAAAAACTCACAGCACTTGTGGCAAAAATCAGGAGTTCAGATTTCATCCATTAGTTGAGCTTTTTCCATGTCCTGCATTCCTTCCTTCCCAATGCAGGATCTCTTGGCTTCAGGCAGAGCCTGCTGATATGTGCACAGCCACATGGTGTGCCCTAACCACGGTATTCAAAGCGTTTTCTAAATATCAGAGTCTAAAAGTCTAAAATATCAAGTCTAAAAAAAAAAATCAGTGATACCTAGATTTTTTATAAGATGCAAGACAGGTTGATTTTGTCATTGGTCTGTCCTGCAAGACTCCTCCCCAGACTGTATACTTCTTGTTCTCCTGCTTCCCACACTCGGTGTCTGCCTCCTGTCCTTGCGGGTGTTTGGAGGGGCTGTGCAGGGAACAGCCAGGGTAACGGGGCTGAAACTGGTCAGGGAGGAACTGTGTTCCCAGGCTGCAGGTGACTAGAAGGAAGCTGCAGTTAGGACAGCATTGGTACTGCAAGGATACAGCAGTGATGCTAAAATGAGCCTTGGACTCAAACAAGCCTCTAGCCAGATTATGTCAGGGTTAGGAGCAAGGCCCTTGGTACCAAGTCAGAACAAAGACGTGGACACAGCCATGAAGAAGCAGGAGAGAAGCCCGAATTAGTCATGTTGACTCTGGTATATAATGCAATGAGTAAACACAGATCTGAAAGGTGTGAGCAGTGCCACCTGACAGCTCAATTTATCCCATTTCCACACATCACCTGAAGCACCTTCAGGCCTCACAAGCTTGAGAAATCCTGTCCTGAAACACATTACGCCCTAAGACTTGAGCGCATTAATTGGATTGTGATTTTGGCAATAGTTTTTCAGCTAGGAGTTGCTGCTTGAGAATACCTGAAAGCTGACAGCCTCCAGGTTGGCAGGAACACGATACCATTTCCTTGTCTCATTGCGCTTCACTGTTGTGCATTGTCCTCCATTGAATGAGTTGCCAAGGACTTCCCCTCGGCTCTCTCCTGCCAGAATGTGAAATCTAAAAACAAAAAAAAATTATTTCCAGAAATTAAACAATCCCAGAAAGACATACAGACTTGAAACATTTAGTGTTATATAGTTGCACTGAAGATTTGGTAGGTTTGAATGAAATAGTACGAGCAACTAGGTTGTACTACTGCTTTGAAAGAAGTCCCTCCACAAGAACTCATTCACACTGAGTTCACCTGAATAATGCTGTAGTAGCAATCCTGTTTCCTACTTTCCAGCAGTGCCTAACCCCCTAGATAATCCCAATGTCACATGAAACAGTCACTCTAAAGCAGAAAAAAACCTAAAAATGGCCTAGAAAAATGAACAAGCAGTTCTTAATTTCTGCCATAAGTGATGTTACCAGAGTGCGATGAGTTCAAAATTCAATTAAAAAATGCTACCTGGAGGCAGCAGCCCATGTTTAGGTTTTACACTGCTTAATTTAGTAGCCTGGGGGAGGTGATGGTTGGTATTGTGTGACAATTGTGGACACAGACAAACAAACACCTGTAGAAGAACACCATTGAAATTTCTGAAGCGCTTGGCATAACTGAGCTGGAAGTTGGCAGTACGTGATGTCTGGTTGCTGTGTGGCAGGAAGGTCACTCAGACAGCAGTGCTCCCTGACAACTCTTTACCTACTGCACCAGTAGTGCAGGACTGGACTGGCAGATGCAGTGGGTAAGTCCTAGCCTGATGGTTGGTTGCGTTTTTATAATTTCTGGTTAATTTTAACTTGAGAGATTATGTGTTTTAGTGGGATAACATCCAATTCGCATGTAATGTAAGAGTATCTTTATGTCAATTAGCGAGATAACAATCTCAAGTTTATGAAAAATAAGCAAAGCTGACTTACCCACTGCCCATTAACTGCACACCTGGGATGCTGTCATACTTCCTGTTACACACGGCCTTTTTCCTCCCACAATTTCTTTCATCAGAGTTGTCCCCACAGTCATTTTCTCCATTACATTCCAATTTTTTTGCGATACAGCGACCTGCACCAGAGAAACAGCATCAGCAAGAAACTTTATGTAAATATTCATCATGTCTGAATGAAGAAAAGGGCAGTCTGTTTTTTTCCCTAGCAAGGGTGTGAACTTGCTCTAGGAATTAACAATGAAGCAGTATACATAATGCCTAGATTATTCCCCTAAGAAACAGTTGTTTCTGTTCTGCCCGTTTTGCCTTGCTTTGGAGCTGCTAAGAATTAATTCAAGGTTTAGCAAAACATATGTGGTTAAAGTTACTTTGAGGCTACTCAGGTATATTTAAATTGAAGCGAAGAAGAAATACCCACAAATTTAATAAAAATAGACCAAGTTTATGTTCAGACAAACTCTATGGGTATGTTTGTACATTTGTGCAAAGAAATATTATTGAACAGCGGTACTGTCTAGCTGTTATGGTCGTACTGACATCCCAGGCTAAAGATTGCACTTGAATTGCTTTTAGTTACAGAAGAAACTGTCAACATAATGAAATCATTGAGAAGACTAATCTCTCTGCTCCCTTTCCCTGGAATTTTGTGCATGGAATATACAAGATTTGGACCATCTGGACCTTTTTTGTCTCAGTGTCTAGTCTTTTGACTATCTAATAATGCGGCAGTTATGCAACGAAGATTGTCATTACCACTTTCACACTGAAATTTATTCTTGCAATCAACTTCCACTATGTTGCAGAGCTTAGCTGGGAAGCATGGGCGGGAATCCACCAGCGGCTCGCTACAGGCCTGACCCCCAAACTGGGATGGTCGCAGGAGTGTCCGGACACGAAACTGAAAGGCAGAACAAACAAAACCAGGCTTGTTTGTGTGACCTGATTTTGTAGTTAATTCCGCCCCACTCCGCCCCCCCCGCCCTCCCCAGGCAGACCCACATACCTCAATGCTGGTGAAGCTTTATCAAAACTAGAGCCCTAAGGGAAATAACCAGCTATTTTCATCCCTACATACCACCACACCATCATCACAGGTAAGGCAGGCAGGGAGCTGCAATCCAAGAGTCTCAGTAGCCCTGATGGAGCATACATGATTAAATACTTGACAACCTGGGCTACGCCACTGGAGGAATCAAAAGTTCATTCCCTGTATCTTCAGTTTTAGAGGTACAGTAGGAAATGGTGTGTGAGCAGATTTATGAAATCTCCTGTTCTTTATGACCTCTGATGAAATAGAAATATTCTGATGGTGGTATGTATCCCATACTCAAATGAGCTGTCTTAGATCCTGCATGTGGGGCCTCTTGTTTGAGCAATGCTGGGTGGCTGGGGAGGACAAAAATGGTTTTCCTGAAAGTTTCTGTTTCCAAAGAAGATCTGGGAGCAAAATCTGGAGCTCACTGGGTTTTCTTTCCCCAAGTCAGTACCCTCTGTGCAGAATAACAAAGCTGAAGGCCATTAGACAAATCACTTCAGGTAAGTTTTCCACTCCACTTCAAAAGACTGGTGGTGAGACGTGTCCGCATGTGACTGAACAGTTCCTCCTCTAAGAATTTTTCTCCACTGGAAAAGCACAGTTCCTCACAGACTTCTGTTACTTCCCTCCCTGCGGACAGACCCTGTGCAGGAAGACATCTAGTAAAAGTCAATAATCGAGTGATTGTGAAGGGAGAGAGTGGGGAGCAGCACCAGACCTTCTGAAAGATTTTGAGGTCAAGATAACCCTTCCTTGTCCTGCACTTGGAATCCAGAACACTCATATTATCTGTGTGAGCTGCCACCTCTTCATCCCTCCCCTCACCGGGAGGTTGCTTACACTAGTCTTCACACTTAACTGGGAAGTCACGTCCTCAATTCTGATGGTTGTTTATATTTATAAAGGTCACAAGCAATGATCTTTATAGCTTGGAGGAGAAGATGGATCACAGTCCACAAAAGCACCTTTTTGCTTGAAGCAGCAAATACGTTGCATCAATATTTAAAGTTAATTAAAATGAACAACGCTTCTATATATGGTTGTGTAGGTAAGAAACCCAGCCATTTAAAAGAATATTGATTACAAAAAATAATCACTTCAATTGAGAGCAACACCTCCTTTCAGCTTGTGCAGTTTTTTTTTCTGTCTCCCACTCTCTCAGTGTTTCTCCCTGCTCTGCTCTTATACTCTCCATCCCAGTTTCAGGATGAGGACACTGCAGGGTGGTACATCTCACACCTAAAACAGCTTTTTCATTTCTTCCTCATCCTGCATGGGCACCAGAAAGTTATAGATGTATGTAGAGATATAATATCTGACAGGTTTTTCCAAATTGCATTTCAGGCATGGATTTCTGAAACTGAGCAGGACATTCAGAGAGCTGTAGGATGTGTCTGCACAGAAACTCAGAGCTGCTGTCATGGTCAGCCTCAAAGCTTAGACCCACCAGCCACATAACTACCCCAAGCTATCTGCACTCCACTCCCCTCCACTCCCTACAACCTTACATTTGCCAGGTCTTGGTTTCTTTAGGTCAAATCCACTTGAACCTGACTTTTCACCTCTTCCCTCTCTGACATCTCACCTTTAAGTCTACCAACAGACAGAAGCCCAAGAGGAAAAAACACCATCCTGGGGCTTTGTTCCACAGATACTAAGCACATTCACCTGGTATATGTGTAGGCTATAAAGGTTGGGGGAATTTGCCTTGTCTTTAGAACATATAGAATGCTATGGATAAGCTAAAGATTCCATGACCTTCTTCTGCTGAAACAGATACACAAATACAGCTTGATTTACCCTTTGTGTGGAAAACTCATCTTTAATTGTGACAGTGGAACTTTTGAAGCAAGTTCTCATAAATGCTTCTAAATCACCTCTTTCTATTTTGATCTGCTTATTTTAACTTGTTCTCTTCATCTTCTACTGTTATAATTCATAACGAATTTCCCTTGTTAACTTAAACTGTCATTTTGCAGATCAGTTGCCATAAAGTTGAATGTCTAAAACAAGGACATCTCTTAAGCAGAATTTCTTACATTTAACCCATATAGTACATTTTCTACCTACTTGTTTTTTAACGCATGGGTCACATTCTGACCAAGGGCCAAAGTCTCCAAGCTGACAGTTGATAGGACACGTTTGCTGGTTACATGCACGAGATTCCTGCTTTGTGCACAGCTGGTCACAGAAGTTTTGGCTATAATATTCATCCATTCTTATTTGCCTAAAAAATTTTAACAAGTTATGCTAGGAAGGAATCATAGATGTAGGAAGGAATGACAGATCGTAGATGTTCTCTAACTGTGGGTGAAGGCTGATAAAGAAAATTATTTGAGCCCAATGAAAAAGACTTTAGAGATAATGGGTAATTGCAGAATGCTGATTAAAAGAAAAATCCTTAAGTTTACAGAGCAATTTCTTTTGATTCATGTCACTTCAAATGTCCCGGGGAACAGCTACAGAAAGAGACAGGAGGAAAAGAGGGGATTTCTCACAAGTTTAGAGTATACCACTGAATTACATCTAATTTGATGCTGCTGAATCTTTATTTGACTTTAACTGCTGTCATAAAATTAATTATACAAGGAGGAACTTTCTGTAGGTTTGCGGTGCTGGAGCTCACCTCTCCCATGGCACTGCTCTGGACTGGGCAGAGGTCCCACAGCAGGACACTGAGTGCTGACACCGTGTGCTCACAGGAGCTGGTTGCTCAATGCGTGCTGCTGGCAAGGACATCGTAGGACCTGGCTGTTCTCGCTACATGTGTTGGCAGATACAGGTTTGTATGGAGGCACTGTAATGCTCTGTATATACAGTTTGGTAATTTTTCAGTCGTGCGATTAGAATATAACCTATTCATCTGATAAATATATGGATATGACAATTTTTCTCAGTATACTATGAAAGTTGGAGCTTCAGACACAGGTCCCCCGTCCTAGAAGTTGTATTTTCTCAGGGAATAAATAGAAACATAGAAGTAGTAGGATATTTTGGCCCTACCTGTGCCTGGTCTGTGTGCCATAATTGCAGGTTTGTGAACAGGCAGACCACGACCCCCATGGGTAATGTTCACAGTAGCACCCCTGGCTGCTCCCAATCGCCAGGATCAGCAGGATCAGCTGCGTTAACATAGTCTTGTCTGTAGTGAAGGTGCCCATCTACAGCGCATGGACAGGTAACAAAAGGTCAAGAAACTATCACTTATAGTTGTGGCTGTATCCTTAGAGAGACATCTCTTCTAATTTGTAGAGTCTATAAATCTGCTTTACACTACAAAGCTGCTAAGCAGTGTACCTAGAAAAGGGCATGATATACATTCATCAGTAATTTAGTTAATACTTTAAGGACCAGCAGTCACAGCGGCTTTTTTGGCCACTTATTTATCAGGAGTACTAATCATGACATTATTTGCATGCATAATATGCATATAATGTGCATTATTTCTATTTAATAAGTTGCTTATAAATAATTTTGAGCACGACAAACAAAGAACTGCTATTGCTCTTCATTGCTTAGAGGTATTCTCAAAAACATGCTTCAGGAATAAGAATAAAAACATGAGACAGCTCTTCATGCAAAACATATAAAACAACAAACAGGACCTTAAGAGTAAGCAGCCCCATCTATTACCCTGTTCCCAATTAATTTTCACATGCTTATAAACCCCCTTTGCATAAGCGTTTTGCTGTAGTGAGTCCTTCCTTCGGCTTTCTGTTGTTCTTAGTTTTGCCTAGCCTGTCTAAACGACAAACTATCACTATTCAAAGCTCATCCTAATTTTCTACTAACAGCTTATTTCTTAGTCTAGTGGTCAATCAAACTTTATTTGGTGAGGCAGAAGGTTATAGGCAGTCTTTAGGAAGTAACAATGCTTAGTAAACTTGAAAAATGTTTTCCAGGCAAACTACTCATTCATTGAAAAATGCAAAGAATTTTTCCCCCTCATGAGATTGAATCAAGAGTAAATTTAATAGGCTGTTAGAGTAGAACATTGTCATTTTGTTTTGGCTCAAAAAACCCAAAACTCAATAGGAAGTTTTAAAAGCAAAGTATTTATTTTAAAACAATATTCCAAAAGATTTCATTTTGAAAACTTTGAAATGAAATGTGCAATCATTTTCTATTTTAGGTTTTTAGTCACATCTTCTATTACAATTTTTATACCTTGCTGAGAAAAATGAAATCACATTAATTTAAAACCTTGTTTCCTCCTTTAGTAAAGGCAGTAAGTCTTCACACAGTTGTTGCAGTGAGCACTCAGAGCACTTTTTATATGATAGTTCATTCAACAAGCCTTTCAGAGAGATTTAAGTATAATCAGACCCAAAATATGGTAAAACTGAAGAGAGAGAGATCAACAGTCTTGCCAATGAACCAAGATGAGAACAGGTATTACATCTTTTTCCTTACCTGAGTTCCTGGCTCCTTGCATCAATAATGTCGGCTTAGAAAAGAGATGAAGCCCTACAGAACAATTACTTTGTTCATTCCTTCACTGTACTGTACATAGAAAAACACTGTTTATTCTCAACTGTGAGCAAAACTCCAACCAATCAATACATTAGGAGCATATCAATAGCTATATAAATGTAAGTACAAGAAATTAATTCAACATTTTAAAGAAAAAATGACATCACAAACCACTTCCCTATATGTTTGGTAACCTGTGTGCATTGAAGCCAACCAAAAAGCTTCCTTATTAACTTACTGTAAGACTGTTAGCTGCAAAGCCAGTCAACTTTGTAGACTGGTGTGACCTTGGTGTGGTTTGCTGCAGCCTCTTAAATGAAAGATTGGAGGTTTTGTTTGATTTGGTTATCCGTTAATGAAGGCAGATCTGGTCTGGTGGCAGGAATGGTCAGAACAAACAGCCTCTCCACCAGCACCCCAGAGAGACATGTTCTAGAGAATTGTGGAGGAACAGCTCTTCCTACAAGTGTAGCGGAATAGAGGAAATGAGAGGAATAAAAATACCTTTGCATTAGGCCATAGAGGGTCAATGCACTGCAGGTGTCCTTGTGCTGCCTGATAGAGCTGTGCAACCTCTCTGCTCTCAGTTTGAAGGCAAGAGACTGAGAAACTGGTAAGAAGGCACTTGCTCATAATTCATTATTTCTTTCAATAGGAAACAGGCAGCAGATACCAGGCCAGGGCATAATGCCTGTCTGCTGCTGCACCCTCTCTGCAAAAGTGGGGGTCCCAGAAAAAACAAAAATCCAAATTTGAGGTTATTTACAGCTCTTTGCCTTTTGCCCTCTGTGGTAAGCTCTGGGCACACAGTGGCCCTGGGCAAGTGCAGCCAACAGACAAGAGCTTCTGAGAGGCTCTGCCCTGCAACATGGGCACCACCACAAGACTGCAGTGCCTGGGCAGGAATTAAAATGGAAAGTAAGACAATACGCCCATGCAGAACAGAAACAGCAATGACAAGCACAAATTAAGTAAGTAGTTTGCCCTAAAAAAAAAAAATAATCAAAGTCTGGAGCAGAACCCAAAACCTCCAAAATACCTGGCGTGCATCCCACCCTGAGGGCAATGCTGCATTGAATCCCCCTTCACTCCAGCAGACTGGCAGAAACATGTCAAGATGTCAGAGCCCTCAAAACATGTTTCCCAATTTGATGGGACCCAATGGCATATATGCTTGAAAAAGAAAAACAACTCAGGGCTTCCTGCATAGCTTCATTTTCCAGTAGCCTTTGCAGGTTTGGTTTTTTTAATTCTTATTTTGGCCAAGGAAGTGTTGTTACACAACTTGAGGACACAATTAGCAAACTGATGTTCTGCCAGATCCTTATTACATTGTGTAAACTTGTCATAAGAAATCAAAATAGTCATCACTCTGGCTCCATTGTTGCTGTTGGGTGGGATTTGTAAAGTTATGCAAAAAAATACTGGCTTCTACCTTTCAGAGAGCATCTCCTAACCCTCAGCACTTCCAGCTCACTGAGGGCAGCCCCTCCAGCCCCAGTGTGACCCCAAACAGGAGATGCCTGCCTTCTCCCAGGCTTATAGAAACAAACCACAGCAGAGAGCTGCAAGTCGGTGTTTATAATAGTATAATGCAGATGGCTAAAAGCTTCTAGCTGAGAAACTACTTATACACATTTTCTTAACAGGAAAACAAGGAGTTACTAAAAAAATTTATAAATTTAAAAATTATTACAACGAAAGGATGCTTCACACAGTCTACAAGCAGTCTGTGTCATTCATACTCGGAGAACAAGCTAGCAGACAAGCACCACAGTTAGCATTAATGGAAACGTTAGGTGGAGAATGGTACTGGTATACTTTATACCAAAGTCAGGGCTTGAGGACAGCATGAGCACCTCCATGTTGAATCCTTACAGTCATGTGAACTTAACTCAGTTGCCTGAAGCTGACGGACCACAGCAGCAAGGAGCACTGCTTGGGTTAACTCACATTTTGGCAAAGCTGTGCTGCTGATGTGCACCAGGAGGCTGTCAGCTCATCTGCAAGCAGGCAAGCTGATCAGGGGAATGAAGAGTCTGGACCCGGACAACAAAGCTGGCACTCACATAACCAAAGCGAACAGAGAAAGGAGATTTTCCCAGTGTAGCAGCTCACCTCATAACACTGCAGGACTGCTTTCCTCAGTTCCTCGCAGGCTATGTCTATACGATATCCTCAGAGCAATCTCACTTTCTTCTGCCCTGGCTGGAGATGAGCACTTGCATAAGTGCATCCTTCTCTTATATCATAGGATGTGTTAGGGCATCTGGACAGCAGGCAACACCCTAGTGCTGACACTCCACTTTCTGTCCTCACAGTCAGCTACTCACAAGGTTTCTTCATGACCTTTTAAAAGTATGACAAATCAAATAAGTCTCCTTAGAGAAACAAGCAGTTAGAAATTTAGTTAGCAACATGGAGAGTGATAGCTCACACAAATAAGAGGGCCTTCTTGGACTGATTTTCGCATGGAAATGCATCAGCACCAAAAGATGCTCTTCCTCTGGGCTGCAGTCCTGCAGGCTTTCACACCCATATGTTGTGCCTTATCAAGTCTCTGGTCTCACGCTCTGGTGCAGTATTCCTCTCAAACGCCAAAGCACTGTCACTGGAATCAAACTGGGAGCAACCCAGAGACGTCGGTGTATAGATGCTTGCCATTTTACAACACTCAGACTTTGAGAGTGTCTATGCACGTATCTGTGGCCCGAATATCCTTATTTCTACAAGAAATCTTTCTCCAGCAAAACAAACATAACACCCCTTCATCTCTGCTGCAATGTATTTATCAAAGATCATTTTTCAAAGAATGGGGAAATGTTATCTCAAAAGGGAGCGGAGAAATCCAATGAATATTCTGCCTGACATCGTAACGTTTCTAGCTGGGTTTCACAAGGTCATGTCTCATCTATTTCATCCAATATCTAATTCCTCCTACTCAGAAAAACCATATTATCTTCCCCAGTCAACCTCTAACCCCCCTCTGAGAGCAGCCTATCTTCTCACCCCAAAGCTCTGCTCAAGGGAGAAACACTAAGAGCTGTAAAAGGGAA